CGTAAGGAGGGGGCTCCCGCTTGAGACTTGCTCGCAATTCACTCACAGACGAGGGTCCCGCTTGATACTTCTTCCAAATTCAGACTTGAGGAGCCCAAAAGTGACGACAGCTACAGGAATCCGATGACCCGCTCGGATTAGTAACATGTTCTGCGGGCCCCATAAGGAGGGGGTTCCCGCCTGAGACTTCCTCGCGATTCCCTCACAGACGAGGCTCCCGCTTGATACTTCCTCCAAATTCAGACCTGAGGAGCCCAAAAGTGACGACAGTTACGGGAATCCGATGACCCGCTCGGATTAGTAACATGATTTGCGGGCCCCATAGGGAGGGGGCTCCCGCCTGAGACTTCCTCACAATTCACTCACAGACGAGGTTCCCTCTTGGTGGATGATGGTGATGGGATGATGACGACGGTGTTTGATGATGATATATGATTGATGCTGATGATGATGATGGTGGTGGTGGTGATGATGACGACGTGATGATGATGATGGTGATGATGAGTGCTGATGGTGAGTGATCGTGCGATTATGATGGTAAATGGTGGTAGTGATGATGGGGACGAAGTGGTGAGTCAGCGAGTAGTGATGATGATGATGATGATGGTGATGATCGTTCGATGCCGATGATGGTGAGTGATCGTGCGATGGTGATGCTGATGGTGATGATGATGATGATGATGAGTGGGGAGTGATGGTGATTGTGGTGATGATGCGGAGGAGGAAGCAAAGAGGAGCAGTGGAGAGGGACGAGGAGGAGGGGGAGGAGAGATCCTGCGCGGAGGGTGTGCAGAGAAAACAAGAACCCCACTTAGGATGTGGGGAAAAAACTTCGATTTCCACGACCACCTGTATTTCCACTACTACGACGACTACGACTACCAAAACCATTGCTTGAATAACAACGGCCACATCTATAGGAAGTACTACAACTGTTACTGCGACAATCACTGTTATTACTACTACTACTACTACTACTACTACCACTACTACTATGACTACTACTACCACTACGACGACGACTACTACTACTACTACTGCTACTACTACTACTACTACTATTACTACTACTACTACTACTACTACTACTACTACTACTACTACTACTACTACTACTACTGCGACGACTGCGACTACTACTACCACTACTACGACTACTACTACGACTACTTTTACTTCTGCTTCTACTACTACTATTGCAACTACTACTACTACGACTACTACTATTACTACTACTACTACTACTGCTACTACTACTACTACTACTACTACTACTACTACTACTTCTACTATCAGTGCTACTAATATTACTCCGTCGCCCACTACTACTAGTAGTAGTACTATTACTACTAACACTACTGTCAGTAACAACTAATAGTATTACTATTACTATTACTCCCAATTTTACTATTGCTACGGCTACTACTCCTCCTACTGATTTTCATACTACGACTCCTATTGCTATTATAGTCGGGCAGCATATTCAGATGGGCAAGTATCCCAAACGAAATCCTTGCATTCTTGCCTCCTCGGCCCAGTGTTGACGACTGATGGCCGCGCCACGCTCGGAACACTTTGAAATTCGCGTTCAAGGCCTTTGTACCCCCATCGCGCATCCTTATGCGACGGGCCGATTGTGTTAGTATTACGACCTACTACATCTACGACTACGGTTATTTCTATTGTTGCTATTACGGCTTTTGTTGTTGTCGTTTCTGCTACGGCTTCTGTTGTTATTATTGTTACTCCTACTACTACGCGGACTACTACTACTTATTGCTGCCACTACTGCAACTACTACCACTAGCACTACTACCACTACTACTACTACTACTACTACTACTACTACTACTACTACTACTACTGCCACTACTACTACCACTACGAGTTGTACTATTACTACCCTACTAGTTTCACTACTACTACCACTATTGCGGCTACTACTACTACTACTACTATTACTACTACCACTACGACGACGACTACTATGACTACTAGTACTACTACTAGCACTACTAGTACTACTACTAGCAGTACTTCCACTACTACTACTACTACTACTACTACTACTGCTACTCTTGCTACTCTTACTACTCTTACTACTCTTACTAGTACTACTTCTACTACTACTATTTCTACTACAACTTCTACTACTACTGCTGCTGCTACTACCACTACTACTCTACTAGCATTAATGTGTTTTATCAGTACTACTACTACTACTACTACCACTACTACTACTATTACTACTACTGCGACTACTACTACCACCACGACTGCTATTATTACGACTGCTACTACTACTATTGCTATTGCTACAGCTAGTAGTGCTACACTACTACTACTAGTAATTCACCTCGCATTATTTGCACTACTTTCACTACTACTGCTACTACCACCACGGCTACAGCCACTACTACTATTTCTACTCTTCCAAATACTACTAGCACTAGTGCTACTACTACTACTACTACTGCTACTACTACTACTACTAGTTTTGCTACTGCTAGTACTACGGCGGTCACCACTTCTACTACGATTCTCACCACCACTGCTACTACCACTACTTCTACTACCACACCAGCAAATACTACTACTACTACTACTAATAGAACTTCCACTGCTCCTACCATTGCTATTGCTACTACGATCAATACTACTACTACTACTACTACTACTAATACTACTACTACTACTATTACTACTACTACTACTGCTATTACTACTACTACTACTACTACTACTACTACTACTACTACTACTACTCCTACTACTACTACTACTACTACTACGACTACTCCTACTACTACTACTACTACTACTACTACTACTACTACTACGACTACTACTACTACTACTACTACTACCACAACTACTACTGCTACTACTAGTATTATTATTGCTACTACTACCACCACGACGGCGACGACTAGTATTCATTCTATAGCGGGTACTCCTAGAACCCCTGCCATTATTATCGCTACTTCCTTAAGTTCGGCCGCTACTACTACTAGTTCCGCGATCCCATGAAATCAATTGCTACCATTATTGTTGTCATCGCGGGTACGAGTTTAACCAGCACCACACCTTTTTGTCTCAATTTTATTACTGGGACGACTTCCGCTGTTCCTACGAGTGCGGCACTTGCTACAATACGTATTACACCTGCAACTCGTATGGCTGGTATCAGACCGTCACTACTGCAGCAGCACGTACAATTGCTAGAAGCATTGCTACAACTGCTACTGCCACTACTACTACTACTACTACTACTACTACTACTACTACTACTACTGCTACTGCTACTACCACCACCACCACCACTACCACTACTACTACTACTACTACTACTACTACTACTACTACTACTACTACTACTACCACTGCTACCACCACTGCTACCACCACTACTACCACTACTACTACTACGACTACTACTACTACTACTACTACTACTACTACTACTGCTACTACTACTACTACCACTACTACTACTACTACTACTACTACTACTACTACTACTACTGCGACCACTACTACTACTGCCACTGCTGCTGCTGCTGCTACTACTACTGCTACTACCCACCCTATGGTTACAGCTGTTAGTGCTATTACTCATACTACTACTACTACTACTACTACTACTACTACTACTACTACTACTACTACTAATATTACTGCTATTATTACTACTATTACTACTACTACGACTACTACTACTACTACTACTACTTCTACTACTACTACGTGGATTCCTACTACTGCCACTACGGCCAGTATGACCACTGCGCCTCACACCACTGCTACTACTACTACTACTACTACTACTACTACTACTACTACGACTACTGTTGCTATTATGTCTACTAGTTCTACTATTACGACTGCAACTACTACTACTTTTACTTTTACTACTACTACTACTACTACTACTACTACTACGCCTAGTACTATTACTACTTCTACTGCGACTACTTCTACGCATACGGCTACGACTACGACTACGACTCCTACTATTAATTTGATGTGTACGGTCACCTACGACTACTACTATTATTACTACTACGACTACGACTACGACTACTACTAGTACTACTACTACTACTACTACTACTACTACTACTACTACTACTACTACAACTACAACTACAACTACTAGTACTACTTCTAGTATTACTACAACAACGACCACTACTACTGGTACTACTTCTACTACCAGTACTGCTGTTAGAATTACTGTTGCTACCACCACTGCTGAATTTTACTACTACCGCTACGAAGTCTACTTCTACTTCTACCATTACCACCACTACTATTATTATTACTACTACTACTACTACTGCGACTACTACTATTACTACTACTACTACTACTAATTCTACTACTACTACTACTACTGTTACTACCACTACCACTACCACTATCACTATCACTTCCACTACTACTACTACTACTACTACTACTACTACTACTACTACTACTGCGACGACTACTACTACTACTACTACTACGACTACTACTACTACTATTTTTACTACTACTACTACTACTACTACTACGACTATTACCACTACTGCTGTTGTTGTTGCTGCTGCTACGCCTACCACTGCTACGACGCACATTTGACACGATGTATGCTAGCGGCATCGTTCCCTCCTGGGTCAGGGCGCTTGCCACAGCGAGGAACAGGATCGAGCTACCCGCTCTCGCATTACTCGGGGTCCTGGCGACATACTCCTTGGACTTGATCACGCAAATTGCGCGTTCCGTTCCCCCTCCGTCCTTCATCTTCTTCCGTCTTCTTCTTTTTTCTCCTCCCACCACTCACCCTGTCCGTCCTCTGGCGGTGATGGCGACAACGACAGCGGCGGCGCCGACGACGACGACACCAGCGGCGATGGCGACGGCAACGCATGCGGGAGCGGCAACAACGACGGCCTGCACGGCCTTCATGGCGACGGCATTGGCGACGACGGCGGCGAGCGCGCTGGGTGTGCCAGGTGGCGCCTCGCCGCGCTGACCCCCCCTGGTGCCGCGGCCAGGCCGCGCACGCGCGAGCGCGTCCGCCTTTGTCGCCCTCGAGCCTCGACGCCTCGACGGGGGGAGGAGGAGGATATAGGAGGATGAGGAGGAGGAGGAGGAGGAGGAGGCGAGGAAGCAGGAGGATGCGGAAGGAGGGGGGGGAATGGGGGGAGGGGGAGAGGACTTTCGGATTCGGAGGAAGAGGAAGGGAATGGGGAGGGGGGAGGAAGAACGAGTAGAAGGATGAGGAGGATGACACGGATGAGTCAATTTAGCCAGGTCGCGCGGGCTAGCGGGCACGGCTCACTCCCACCACCCCTGCCCATCTGATATAACAACCGAAGGGGTTCAATATCTCATCCTCATCCCCCTCATCCCTTTTCATTCACCTCCTCCCCCTGACCCTCCTCCTCCACCTCCTCCTACGATGATGTCGATAATGACGATGACGATGACGATGGCGACGGTAATGATGATGATTGTGATGCTGATGGTGATGCTGATGATGATGATGATGATGATGATGATGATGATGATGATGATGATGGTGATGGTGATAGTGATGGTGACGATGATGTTGCAGATGGTGATGTTGATGATGTTGATGATGATGATGATTGATATGGTGGTGGTGATGCTGACGCTGGTGGTGAAAAACCTGATAATGATGACGATTATGATGGTTAAGATGATGGTGGTGATGCCGATGATGATGATGATGATGATGATGATGATGTTTATGCTGACCATGATGATGGTGGTGACGATATAGTGATGGTGATGATGGTGGTGGCGATGGTGGGTGTGGTGATGGTGTTGGTGATGCTGATGCTGCTGATGTTGATGATGATGACCAGATGTTCATGCGGATGATCATGGTGATGACCCTGATGATGATGGTGCTAATGATTGTTATGATGTTGCTGATACCGACGTTAACGACGACAGTTATGCTGATACCGATTCGGATGATGATAATGGGCCTGTTGCTTTTGATGATCACGATGCCGATGACGACGGTGATGGCAATGATGACGTCGATGATGATCACGGTGATGGTGATGGTGATGATGATGAAGAAGGCGGTGGTGGAGGTGGTGATGCTGAGGATGTAGATGATGATGAGGATGATGATGATGCTGTTGATGATGATGATGCTGATGATGATGATGATGATGTTGATGCTGATGATGATGATGATGATGGTGATGGTGATGGTGATGATGATGATTGTGGTGGTGCTGGTGGTGGTGGTGATGGTGATGGTGCTGATGATGGTGGTGATGCTGCTGATGATGATGATCATGATGTTGATGCTGACCATGATGATGATGATGATGATGATGATGATGATTGTGGTGACGATGTGGTGATGCTGATGATGGTGGTGGTGGCGGTGGGTGTGATGATGGTGTTGGTGATGATGATGTTACTGATGATGATGACCAGATGTGCATGCGGATGATCATGGTGATGACCTTGATGATGATGATGATGATGCTAATGATGGTGATGATGCTCCTGATAATGAAGTTGACGACGACGGTTATGATGCTACCGATTAGGATGATAATGGTCTTTTTGCGTTTGATGATCACGATGACGATGCCGATGACGACGATGATAGTGATGACGATGTTGATGATGATCATGGTGATGATGATGATGATGATGAAGAAGGCGGTGGTGGTGGTGATGCTGATGATGTGGGTACTGATGAGGATGATGATGATGCTGCGGATGATGATGATGATGATGATGATGATGATGATGATGATGATGATGCTGATGATGATGATGATGGTGGTGGTGGTGGTGGTGGTGATGGTGATGATGATGATGTTGATGCTGATGATGATTGTGGTGGTGCTGGTGGTGGTGGTGATGATGCTGGTGACAATGATGATGATTATGATGATGATGATGATGATGATGATGGTGATGGTGGTGATGGTGGCAGTGGTGATGATGAGGAGGAGGAGGTGGAGCAACAGCAGGATTCGCAACATTTTGCAATAGTGCGTAACGAGGATCTCTCCTTGCCCCATCGTTCTCTCCTCCGCTCGCCCCTATCGCTCTCCATTGTCGCCATATCCTCCCCGCTCTCCCCTCTTTTGCCCCCACCTCCCTTGTCTGTCTTCCTGCTCCCTCTTCTCCTCCGTCCTTCCATTTTCCCCCTTTCAATACTCAAAATTCTGTCGATTGTGGAAGGTGTGTCGCGGTTCCGCCTTTTCGGCATCCCGACGCACCAAGACGGCCCAGGAGGTTTCAAAGATCGTCACTAGACGGCCTACAAGGTCCCCAAGAAGGCGCCCTCACGGTCCAAGAGACCCCCAAGACGGCCGAAGAGGCCTCCAAGAAGGCACCCAAATGCTCGAGGATCGCCCCACGAAGGGCCCCAGAGGGGGAGTAAGTTACTGACCAACAGTTTCAGTTTTCCGCCCAAGAGACCTTCAGGATTTCCCAAAAGGCTCCCAAGAGACCCCAAGAAAGAAGCGCCGAAGACGCCCTCAGAAAACCCCAAGAGAGCCCAACGACCGTCCGAGAGGGCCCCAAGACAGCACGATACGTCCCCAGCATGGCAACAGCACAGTTCGACGACGGCCAACGAGACCCCGACGGCCCTTCAGGGCCCCAAAAGAATCCCAAGATCTTCAACAACGACGCCAACAAGATTCGAAAGGATCTCACGACAGCCGGAAAGAACCCACCCCGCCCTTCATCGCTTCAAGAGAACTTCATAACCGACACCAGGGCCCAGAGAAAGTTTCCGAGGTCGCCCCCTCGCCACGATCGCCCCAAAACAGCCGAAGAGGTTCCCCACGCCACCAAAAGGCCCCGCAACGCCCACGATTTTCGCACGGACCCGGCGACGCAAGCTCCGTCTCCACGAAGTCTTCCAAAGAGTGACCCGAAGACCTTTACGAAACACTTGCTCTCCTCCCAACCTTCCGGTGCGCCCCCTCCGCGTTCTTGTCGTTCCCCTCATGCATTCTCTCGCCTGCCAGCTCCTTTTTTCCTCGTCGTCTCTGTCCGCCTTCCACATTTGAACGCGACCTTACCATATGTGCCCGAAGCATGTATCCCAGTAAGTGGGCAAACTGCGCTCTTTCAATTGTCTCCCTGTCCGCTGCTGTTTTGGGCCCTGGGGTACGGAGAGTGGCCAGCTTCCGTGCTCGTGTTACACGCGTGTTATTCGCATTCCGCGTTTCTTCTTACATTGTAAAAGATCGCCTGTTGTATCTCACATCCCCATTTCCTGTCGGTAGCGGAGCAGCCCGCTCCGCGACCGCTGGCCGCCAGCCATGGCTCGCGAGGTTTCCCCGCATCGTGCTCGTGCTAGTCATCCATTTCGCCCCAGCAGTCGCCGTGCCTCGAGTGGCCGGCGGGGCCAGCCAGGCCCAGCCGCCATCAGCGGCGCAGGAGACCCAGCGCATCTACAAGTACGTGTACGATTGCCAAAGGGACCGCGCCCCCCGCCCACCTGCTCTTCCCTTCGGGTACTTTTGACATGTGTTCGAGATGGTCGGGGCCCTTACGTCTTCATGGCGCTCGCCTGCGAGCGCCGCCGCCAACGTCAGACCGTCGAGCGATTGGAAATTTCGCGTTCACGGCCTCGGCGCAGGGCCCCGAGCCATTCGCAATTATTTGCGGAAGCCCGAGGGGGAAGAGGCAAGGGGAGCATCGCCCGCATTGCGTCCGCACGTGGGTGTAGCCGATTATGTGGAGCTGTCGATCCGACGCCCACATCGCTGGCGTCGGCGCGGCGCCCCGAGCTTTCCGCAACTATGTCGTGGAAGCCGGGGGGGGGGCGCGCGCGGGGGCATGGGCGGGGAAGCGGTGGTGGGTCGGGCAACTCTTTCCTGGGGCCGGCTGCACAAGCCTGGGGCTGCTCTTTATCGGTTCCCCGAGACATGGCTCTCAACGTTGCCTTCGCGATCCCTGCTTCCCGGCGGGCTTGGATCCCTATGCGCACTCCATTTGACAGTCGTGTAGTTGGCAGTTCTCAGCACAGTGACCGCGCGACGCGCGACGAGTTCTTTCGCCGCTGAATGGCGGGGTGCCGGGAGCGAGGCCAACGCGCCAATCGCGCGACAGAAGAGAAGACCCACGGCGCCGAGGAGGAGGGGGGGGCATGCCAGGGGCGGATGCCCGCGACGGCTCCGATGATCACTGCCAGAACGTCGCCGTCGATAGGTGCCACGGCTGTCGCTCCGCGTGGACGCCTGGGGGGAGCTCTACTCTGGATGGGTGGCGATTGGAGTGGGCGCGGTCGCCGCCGCCAGCTCCATCGCCTGCGTGGGCGCGGACGGCGGCTGCAGCGGCAGCGCGCGACGCCTTCGCGCCCGGGGGCCCTTGCAGGAGGCTCGCGTGCCCATCTAACGCCGGGCGGGGGAGGTTCGGCCAGCGGCGAATTCAGACCGCAGCGAATTTCGCTGAGCGGCCTATGTCGCGTCTCGCCTGACCAGCGCGGCTCGCGAGCGCGCGGGCGAGTGGCCGCCGGTCGCCCTCGTGCAAGGTGGCCGCGGTCGCGGCTGCCCAGGCTGCCCATGGCCCACTTCGCGCGCAGCTCGGCCGAACTGCGGGGCCAGCTTGGAGAAGACAGCGCGAGCGGGCGGCGTTGGCTCTGATAGATTTAACCGAATGCCGCGGAAGCGCATCGACAACCCCCTCGCCGGGCCCGGCATCCTCCGCAGCGGAGCGCAGAGAGTTGGTCAATTCGTGATAGGCTTCGAGGGCCTCAGTTACTTCTTGCCGTGCGCGGCGGACGCGCCGAACGCCTGGCTCGCCCTGGCCCCGCGGCGCCGCGACGTGGCCTGCCCGGCGGGCGCGCCGCAGCTGGCGCGCACGATGGGCCAGCTCAAGCCGATTTGGACATGTGATCGAGGGCTCGCCAGGCAATCTCGCCTCGGCAGCGCATTCGCCCTAACGCCGAGCGTGCGCGGGCGCGCCCGCGTGCGATCGGGATCAGAGTGCTCGCGGCGCTGGGGCTGGATCGAGTTGAGATGGTATGGGCCTTGCAGCCCCAGAAGCAGCGCCGAGTCCACCGCCGGCGTCAGTAGGCGGCGCGCCCAGCAGCAGG